TAGCACCACCTTGCCACAGCTTGCGCTGCCTTTGCAATCACGCAGGTTCTTAGTCATGAACCACCTGCACCTTTGGTTTCACCACCATGAGCGTAGCTTTGTCTTGCACTGTAGCCTGCAGGCATTGCTTGGAGCACCTCGCACAGCTAGCGCCATTCTTTCTTGCTTGCATTGGCGCTCATGGAACATCATGCACTCGACATGCCCCGAAGCGCATCGTTGCATGCGCTCTGTGTGGCGGGTCACGCCTTCAGAAGAAGCAGCCTTAGCGCAGTATGCCGAAGCACGCCTCCTGGTCATCGAGCACCTCGCCTTCAGGACCTGGACCCCGCTTGCGTTTTCTGCTTGCCGCTTTGCTTGCTTGATAGCTTCCCTCAGGACCCTGCCCGCGCGCAGGCGCCAGCAGGCACCCGCCGCAGGTCGGATCATGTTTTCTTTCCTTGCAAGCCGCAAGCCTGCAACTTTCAGGCACAGCCTCCAGCTCAGCGAGCCGCTGGTTGGATGGTTGAGGCTGCACTTGTGTAGCAGTATTTTTACTTTGCCCTGCCCGCCTGTCAGGTCACCTTCCAGGCACGCTTTGCCTGGTTCGTGTGCCGCGGCCCCGCTTGTGCCTCGCAATTTCCTTTCCGCAGGCCAGAAGTCCGCAGCTGCACGCGCAGCCGCCCCAGAGACTTTAAGCACGCTCTGCTTGGCCTGCCCGCGCCGGCAGGCGCTGAACCACGGCACGTGCCCGCCCGGCACGCCGCATGACACTTGTTGTGCACCTTTGCTGTTCTGCTTCAGGTACTTTGCCCGCAGGCATGCTCCACCGCTATGTCTCGAGCTCAGCTTTCGTAAGCCCGCTTGGCTCTGTCCGCTTGCACAGTTCCTTGCAACCGCTTGTTGTGCACCTCTGTCTGCTTGCACAGCTCCTTGCAACCGCTTGTTGTGCACGACGCTGCCCCCTTTTTCCCAAGCTTCACGTAGGAAGTGTTGCCCTTCCATGTGCCCCCCTTGACCCTCCATAACTTCGACCCATGCACTTAGCTACCTAAGCCAGCACTTTGGTAGGGACTCGGGGTGGGGGGAGGGCCTTCTTCTCCATACTTTCCCACTAAAGCACCTTCAGGGCGCCGCCCGCGCCAGCATCATAGGCCTGCTTCGGCAATCACAGGACCGCATAGACGCAAGCACCGACCTGCACAGCTTCACAGCCTTTAGCCCGCACGCACTCACGCACGCACGCCCGCACGCAAGCAAGCACATGGATTCGATGATTGGGCCGTCGAGCGCGGCCGCGATCCTCGAGCTCGCCACGCAAGAGGAATTGCACGACATCATGCAAAGCAGGCCCGTCCTGGCAGGGCGGTTGCGCGTCATCTTGCACGCACAGCAAGCAGGCATGCCACCTCCAGTCGCCGGCGTGCCACCTCCAGTCGCACAGCAAACTGCCTGCGCAGGGCACGCACCTTGCATGCCCCAGGCCTTCTTGGTCCCGGGCTTCGGGGGGCAGGCGCCCGTGCGCATGCCTTGCATGTTCAGCGCTTGCCCGCCTGGCCCTCCTCCAGGACCTGCTCCGCACCAGGCACCGCAGGCCCCGCAAGCAAGCACGCAAGCCACCTCTGCACCAGCCGCTACGCAAGCACAGCCAGCAGCGGCAAGCAATGTTGATGAGATCTGGAGCCAGCTGGACGCAGGACCCGCGCGCGCCAACTACCCCGACAAGCTCTGGCGGCGGGTGGCACGACAAGCACGACAAGCACGACAAGCACGGCGATGCATGGGACAGCTGGCACTGGAACAATTGGTGGTCGTGGAGCGACACCAGCACGCACGATTGGAAGCAGGAGTCGGACAAGCAGGCAAGCACGCCCTCCGCGGGCACCGCAATGGAGCCCAGCAAGCATATAGGATCCGAAGTGAGGTGGGCCAACGGTAGACCCGTTTACCGCCGCCACAAAGGATTCCTGGCGTGCGCGGTTGCATGCACGCAAACGCATTGCCCGCACGGCAGGCCCCCGTGCAACTACAAGGTGGCGCCGGGCGACACGCGTGCGCCGCACAAGTGCTCGCTCTGCAAGAAGGCCGCGCGCGCAGAATCCCTAGCTCGACCTGCGCGCGCGCGCCGCAAGCAGAGCAAGAAAGGACGGCCGCTCGCACTTTGGGTTGGTTCGCTTTCTTGACTGCTTCTTGTGTTTGAGCTTTGCCACTTGCACCTTCTCAGGCCGCACGCTCTGCATCCCCGGGCTCCGCCTTGGCCTTACCTCGCAGCCGCCCGCTGCCACACAAAGCTTGTGCCATGGCTAGCCCGCAGGCGCTAGCCAGTCCCCGCCGGACGCGCCTGCACGCATGCAGCGGACTCCCCAGGATTGCTTGCGTTGCGCATGCTCCATTGTTCATTCCCCTTCCTTGCCTGTCAGGTCGTCGACTTCCTCCACCTCGAGCTCCGCACTCAGCTTGCTTGCCCAGTTCAGGTGTATGCCGCCCTGCGCCTTTGCAAGTTTGTGCCTTCATGCCCGCCTTTTCGCTCAGCCTTCATGCTTAATCGCTGCACAGGATCTGCTGCAAGCCACTTGGCATACAATCAGTAGGCTTCCCTTAGGACATCGGCCCACCACACTCCCGAAGTTGCAGACATAGTGCCGATGACTGGCGAGAGTTGAGTTATCCAGTCGCCGGCTAGAACACTCCCATCTTGAGCAGTGTACGCCTGAAGTTCCGGCAAGTCGGTGACCGTTCTAGAAGGTTCTTCAGGTCTGTCAGGGAGGCCACTTGCCCCAGGCCCTTCCGTGGTGGCGGAGGCACTCCATGTCCCAGCATCATGCTGATCTTCATTGCAGGCCTAGTCCAGGCACCTTTGTACTGTTAGGGGTTGTAGGGGAAAACCTTATCGGCGGGTTAGGGGGGGTGGAGGCGGTGGCGGCACGGGATCCGCCGAAAGGATTCACTCCAGAATCCACAACCTCAATATCTCTAGGTCGTAGTCTAGCGCCCCGTTGGATTCCGATCTCTTGGCCTATAACCCCAGGCTGCTCTGAGTCTGCTCTCTATGGAGGCTGCCTCACATTTCCTTGACCCTCTTGCACATACGTTTGGCCCAGGCTGTAATCTGCATCGAACCTTCCCGGCTGGCTGTTCCATGGGGAATGCTCCTCGGCCTGCTAAACCTGCCAGGAACCATTCCTTGCGCTGTGCGGGACCTAGACCTAAAACCTGGCCGAACAGTTGCGATACGCCGGACCTGTGCGCAGAAACCTTGCGATAGGCCGAACGCCTGTGCTTGCGATGGGCCGAGACCTCGCGATAGGCCGAACCTAAGCCTGCTGCCTGGGCGAGACCTCACGATAGGCCGAACCTTAGCCTGCTGCCTGGGCCGAAACTGCTGCGGGCCGAGACCTCGGTGGGCCGTGCTGCCTGGGCCGAGACTCGCCATAGGCCGAAGCTGGAGGCCGAGACTTACGAGGCCGAACCTGGGCCTGCTGCCTGGGCTCTTGCCGAATGCTGCCTGGGCCGAGATCTCGCGATAGGCCGAACCTGTACCTGTCGCCTGTGCCGGAAAGTACGACACCAAAGTCCCCAACCACCACATTCCCGCTATCAAGCTCGCCTCCATCTCTGCCAGTCCTCATTGAAGACGTGCTTCCCGACCTGATTTCTTCCCACGGCCAGCCGTTGACGTGTCTGCCGCTGCTCTTCTGCCAAGCCAGCCACAGCGTTGCCTAAAGACCAGGAGGTCCCTAATAGCCGGAATCTCCTCACGAGCAGGGGACCTGGATCTAGAGGTCATTGAAGGGGCGTTCGACACTCCTGGAATCAAAGGAAGTTTCGCTGTTCCTAGCAGGTGCGGGACTGGACGCCCGAAGGCTCAACCCCGTTGCAGAAGCAAATTCCCCGCTACGCCCAGCTTCCGATCCAAAATACTCAGGTTCCCTTTGCTCTTCATCAAATTCGGCCAAAGCCAATGGCCGAGCCTGCCTGATCCTAAACTCCTCAATGGCACGATCACTCCAAAACGGATTCGGGTTGTCCGAGCCAGTTGAGGCCTCCAGTCTAGGGGAAGCCCGATCAGGTTCAGGGGTGGGCTCTTCAGCGGTAGAAGTAGCAGGCGGTGGTTCAGCAGTCTCCATGGCTATAGGTGAGCAAGGCTCTTAACCTGTGGATTCACAGGTGCATCACGCCCTTTTTACGAATCACAAAGCCACGAAACAAAAGAAAGTCATGAAGGTGGGCTCTATGCCTACGCGTCTCCAAGGATTATAGTATAGGTACTGCATGTCTTAGCATGACTGCTTGCAAAACATATTGCATGACTCCAACTGAGCCATGATGCATGCTGCGTGATTCCAAGGATGCATCCCAACATCAAACACGCACACACGAATAATATGCTTATAGTATCCCGTATCCCTATAATATCCCTATAATATCCCTATAAAATCCTTATATCCCTATATAAACCCTATCTGACCCCTATAGTATCCCTATTCTATCCCTATAGCGCCCCCTATATCCCTCCGTCCCACCATGGCCAAGGGTTTTGGGTACGGAGGAGCGACTACTTGGAGGTCCGGCGGCGGCAGTTGCAAGTACAAGTAGAAGTATTCTGTATATAGGGTATACTACAGGGATATTATAGGGATATTCCGTATATTATAGTATATTGGGGTATATTCTGGTATATTGCGGTATATGATGGTAAATTATGGGATTGTTGTTCGGCAGGAGCTTGCGAAGGCCAAGCCGAAATGCTGCTGTTGGTGCTTTCCAGGCCACTGCATGCATGGAAGAGCCATAACGACTCTAGCTCTCTGCAACTCATAATATGTACCCTGATACAGTGGGTTCCAATTTCTTTTCCATTATCCCTATATAACCCCTATATCTATGTTAAAGTAGTTTCCATTTTCTTTTCCATTATCCCCCACATAACCCCGCACAACCCCTAGTATGCTGATCCGCTCACCCGCAGCATGCTCTCGCAAGCTGTCCGGCTGAGGCCGTTTTAGTCAGGCCAGTGCAACATGGCGGCGCAAAGGTTGATCATTGAAGGCTTCGAAGCGGTGAGGGTCCGTATTCCCAGGAAGGGGACGTACTACCACTGTGCGGGGACCTTGAAGCATTACGATGGGGTTGTGGTGAAGATTCACGCAGGAGGTCTTACGGGACTTGGAGAGCTGAGCATGCTCTTTCCAGATCGCACAGGCACCACACCCGGCACTGCCCTTGACATCTTCAAAAACTATGTAGCTCCGAGACTCCTTGGCCAAGATGCGTTAGCCATGCGTAATACATGGAGCAACTTGGTGAAGCTGGGCTCAGATGCACATGCCTTCCCTTACCATCGGGCAGCCGTTGACGTTGCAGTTCACGATCTCGCGGCGAAGGCCTTAGGCGTGCCGGTACATCAGCTCTCAAGCTGTCAAGTCAGCAATTGTGCCTTTTTTTTTTGAGCTGGAAGAGTAGAACCAGGGCTTTTTGCTTCTGTCTACCTGTGCGATTGCTTCGTGCTGCCATGAATCACCAGGTGGGAGGGAGGGAGGCAGGAGAAGAGAGAGAGAGAGAGAGAGAGCGACAGGGGGAGGGAGGGAGGAAGGGAGGGAGCGAGGGAGGGAGCGCGAGTGGGTGTGAGTGAGTGTGAGTGAGGGTGAGTGAGAGTGAGTGAGAGTGAGGGTGTGGGTGTGAGAGTGCGTGTGCGTGTGCGTTTGCATGTGCGTGTGCGTGTGAGTGTAAGTGTCAATGAGTTAGTGGGTGTGGGTTTGAGTGAGTATATGTGAGTAGGTATGTAAGTGAGTGAGCGAGTGAGAGAGTAATTCTGCGAGTGGAGTGCGTGTTCGCATGATCCCTTTCATCCACTCAAAGAAAGGGGAATATGAGTTCATCTCAGTCCTCCCTATGTCTACTTTTTCCAAGCGAAGGCACAGCAGCGTTCCTTGGAGAAAGGATGCGTTCACCCTAAACCCTAAAGCCTAAGCCCTGGTGTGAAGCTGCACGCAGGGGTGGAGGGTCACCCGGCCCGTCCCCCTCACCAACTCCAAGCCGCATAGCACCAAGAAGCAGAAGACCACGAAGAATGAATAAGAACTGACAGAGAGAGAGAGAGATATATATAGAGTCCCCCTTAAGATCCCTTAAGTAGATAGAATATGGGGTATATGGAGATCTCATTATAATATACCCCAAGCCATATTCTATCTACTTAAATGTGATTATAGATAGAGAGAGAGAGAGAGAGATATATATATATACATATATATATATAGATCAATATAGATCTTAGGGGGGTGACCATATATGTATATATATATATATAGAGAGAGAGAGAGAGAGAGAGAGAGCTGCCAGTAGTGCAGAGCGGGAGAGCCACACCAAAAAGAAAAGCGAGGAGCTGGAGGGGTCAGCTAAGAGGGGCGATTAAAGTCATGTGAGCTACTAGTCTAAACTCCCTTAAAGGGGGTTATATTGGGTTTAGGGTTTAGGTTTTAGGGTCTAAACTCCTTAAAGGGGGTTATATAGGGGTATATACAGGGGAGTGTTATAGGGATTCTTAAGGGGGATACTAGGAGTTTAGATTGTAGCTCATGTCCTGCCAAAAGTGTGGGGCGCGCTTCTTTACCTGCTGATGTTTTACCACCCAGTCGAGCAGGACAGAGGCGGGCATCAGGGGCACTATCTTATAACCGCATCTACCTCCAGTGTTTCCTCCAGTGCCCCTCATGCGTGTGGCATGTCGGTCCTCCTGGGCATACGTCTGACTGCTGAATGGACGTGCCGGGCTGGGGGGGTACCCCTGGAAGGTAGTAGTACCCCTCTCAGCTCCGAAGAAGAATAAGAAGAAGAAGAAGAAGAGGGGGAGAGAGATATAGAGAGACAGAGCGAGCGAGAGCGAGACAGAGATTGCAGCCTCCTGAGTACATCATTTTGCAGGTGCCGTAGTGCCGTAGGGCTGTCTGGGTGGAGGTCTCGTGTTTGCACCCCGTCGTAAAACCACCGCATTTATTGGGCCCTGGCAGGCCGTGACTGTTACTGTTTACAGGTTCACCCGTGGGCCCACTTGCCCTAGAAGCCCAGGTACCCATATAGTAGGTCCTTGGGTTACAGATAGTTTTAAATTTTCTAGGGTCTTAAGGACAGGAACCCAATATATAGGTAACTGGGCTTTTAGGGCTTGTTTCAGAGTCTATCAAAGGCAGCGTCCTCGGATCTCGGCTTCGGGCGCACGGCCCAAGAAGATAGAGAGATAGAGTACATGTGTGCCTGCGTGCGTCCGTCAAATTGTGCGCTTCTTCTTGGACACCCTAAAGAATAGTTTCCATTCTCCCAATATAATAACCCCAGTATAACCCCAATATAACCCCAGCATAACCCCAATGTAACCCCACCATAACCCCAGTATAACCCCAATATAACCCACCCTAAACCCTAAACCCTAAACCCTAAACCTTGAATTTGAACATCTCATCCAAGGCTCCTTGGGGAAGAGCCGAACGGCTCTCCGGAAGGTGGCATGACAGTGGGAAGAAGCATCTGGGTTGCTGTTAAGGAACTTAAATTAAGTTACTATAGGGTCCCCCTTATAATGGAGAATCAAATGGAAAAGAAAATGGAAAATGAAATGGAAACTGGGGGAATTTTGGGATTTTAGGGATTTAAATTAAGTTACTATATTGGGGAAACCCTATTATTTACTATATATGATTACCCATTATGGTAACTTAACTTCAGTTCCTTAACAGCAACCCAGGCATCAGCACTGCTGGAGGTTCGCTTGTGCCAACAGCCCTGGACTACCTTGCCAACGACTCTCGCGGGATATTGAGGCGAAGCATATGTTTAGTTTCATCGATTCAAAGACTCAGGCATAGTGGGACTAGAAATCGTCGACGTGGGTACGTGTTGTCGTTGTAGTGGTAGTATCGGTGCTAGTGGCGTAGTGAATACCATGTCAGCCATGGCAGTTGTAGCAGCAGAAGGAGGAGCACTGGTGGTTTGCGGGTTGTGGTAGTGGTGGTAGTAGTGGTGGTAGTAGTAGTAGTAGTAGTAGTAGTAGTAGGACTAGTAGTAGTAGTAGTAGTAGTGGTGGTAGTAGTAGTAGTAGTAGCAGCAGCAGCAGCAGTACTAC